TCCTTGGAGATAACAATCATGGGAGAAAGAAGGGCTGCTTATGCATAGGGAGACAGCTCAGGGGGCAGGAGTGCATGGAGGGATGGACACAGGGAAGAGGTAACTATGGGGAGGAAGTGGGAGGGGAGCTGTTGTATTGTGGTAAACTGTGGTCAATGTCATGAGACAAAGTATATGTGTACTGCTGTATGGAAAGTAAATTTGCTCTGTAAACCTTCACCCAAATCACAATAAAAAAAATAAAATAAAATAATTTGATTGTAAAAAAAAAAATACTCTATTAGTTATGAGGTAACAGTCACAACAATCATCACCCATGTAAGCCTGAAAGTAAAACTTAATGAATGATGCATTAAAATTTGTCCGAACTATAGCAATATATACTGCTATTTTTCATGTAAATTTGATTACTTAAACAAATACACAACGTAGTTGGATTTTAGGCATAGTGCTATGCAGATGTTACTTTGATGATTAAGGTAGGTATACCTGACCCAAGCCATGGTCATTTCAATCTATGTCCGTAGTGATACTGCCTCGGAAACCCAAGGAGGGGTCACTATGAGTCAGGGCCAACTCGATGGCATATAACAACAACAATAACCTGCATATGAAAGTTGGACGATGAAAAAAAGAAGACAGAAGAAGAATTGGTGCATTTGAATTGTGGTGCTGGCAAAGAATATTGAAAATTCCATAGACTGCTAAAAGAATGAACAGTCCTAGAAGAAATTCAACCAAATGCTCCTTAGAAGAAAAGATGGTGAGATTTTGGCTCACTTACTGTGGATACATCATCAGGAAAGACCAACTGCTAGAAAACAGTATCACGTTTGGTAAAAGAGAGGGTCAGCAAAAATGAGAGAAACCCTCAATAAGATGGATTTACACAACAGTCTCAACAATGGCCTCAAAGATACCAAAGATTATGGAGATGGCACAGGACTGGGCAACGCTTCATTCTCTTATAAATAAGGTTTCCAAGAGTTGGAGCTGACTTGAAGGCAACTGACAAGAACAGTAACAGCTATGCAGATTATTCCTACCCCAAAAAACATCATAATAAATGATAACACTATGGTTACCTTGCTTTTCAAAAGGCCTGAAGATCCTATCACTTTTTCAAAAAGCTGCTTTCCAACATGAACATCAACTGCAGACAAAGGATCATCCAGGAGGTAGATATCAGCTCCGCTGTAGACAGCTCTAGCCAGACTTACTCGATGCCTCTGCCCTCCACTTATATTCACACCCTGAAAATGGAGCAAGAAAGAGAAAACCAAGATCAGAGGGAAAAATTGTGTACATTTCAAAGCACATATTGTCATATCGTCATATGCCAATACTCTATTGTAGTATAGATAGGTAAAACCCAAGATTAACACTCAAACATTACTTTATCCAGGATTTCCAAAAATCCTATTTCCCAGTGCTACTAATTTATACAAATTAACAGATATACCTACTTTCTCTTACCCACAAAAGGAGATGTGAACTTTTAAAGAGAAAATGATTTCCAATTGGCTTGCTCTTAAAAGTTGTGTCTATGGAATATTAAACAAAACTTTTGGCTGCAAACCATATACTGACACTAGTGATTATGTTTAAACTGACACATAGGACATTGAGAATAATAGCTAAATTACTAAGGCAGTAATCAACATGTCCCATTTTCTGCCACAGAAAGATTAGCACAAGTCTTGTTGGCGAAAGTTCAACTCTAAGAAGCGAGAATAAGGTATATACATCACACCATGTGAGAATTAAAGCTGACATGTACAGCCATATATGGAGAATTATGAGGCCAGACCCAAGTTACTTGATTTATTTTATATTTATTGTTTACAGAACTGTTTTAAAGCTCTCAATGTAGCAGAGAACTTAGCTAGTGACCTAAAATTATAAAATGACATTATGTCTTTGCATTTCTCATCCTCTTCTACTCTCTTCCTACATGTCCTAAGTATGACTATATTCTGGGTGATATCTAGCAGACCAGATTCAGAAATAAAATAAACAAAGCATCTGTCATGTGAAGGTCACAGTTTAGTAGGAAAGTCAGGCATGAAAACAATTTATATATAATGCAATTGGGTGCACATAAAATATATAAAATGCAATGTGTACATATACATATATGTGTATGTATGTATGTGCTTGTGTGTGTAAGACTAGGAGCCATCAAGTTAGTTTCAACTCATGGCAACTCCCTGTATGTCACTGTAGAATTAATTGTGCTCCCTAGGGTTTTAAATGGTTGATTTTTTCAGAAGTAGATTACCAGGCTTTTCTTCCAAGTTGAATCTGGGTGGACATAAATTGTCAGCCTTTTCGTCAGCAGCTGAGCACTTAACTATTTGCACCATCCAGGGATACACACACACATATGCATGCACAGATGCATGCATGTGTGTGTGTGTGTGTGTGTGAACGTGTATAAAAACCCAGAAAGGAATTGATTAGCTATTAGAAGGGGAAAAAGAAATAATGGATAATAGGACAAGAAAGACATGACATAGATTTGAAACACTAGTAGGTTTACCAGGGGAAAGTGGTAAGAGAGAAAAGGGAATTTTTCTCTGAGCTACTGGCCATGGCTCTCCTCTTGAAATGCTTTCTTTGCTTCATTCTATAGGAACATTTTTCTTGGCTTTCATCTTTATTTGCTAAGAAACATTTCCTTACACTTTTACTTCAGATTCCCGAACCATCATCTTTATCAGTTGTCTTCTCTGATTAGTCTTCAGTTCCCTAAATATCAATATCCTCTAAGTTTCCACCATGAAATGTTTTCTCCTCATTACTTCTGAGGGATATAAGTAATTTCTACAATATCAAGCATCACTCATTTTTAGTTAATAATATACAGGTTAATATATATGGAGTGCTAACTATGTATCAATATTTTAAATGTTTTACATACATTAGCTCTTTTAACTCTCACCAGAATGCAATAAAATAAGTATCATCATCATTGTTCTCTTACAGATGAAGAAATTGAGACACCAAGAGTTGCAAACCCACCAGCCACTTCTTGGAAGGAAGGCTGGGCAATCTACTTCCATAGTGATACTGCCTTGGAAACCCAAGCAGGGGTCGCTATGAGTTGGGTCTGACTCGACGGCATATAACCTTATTTGCTGAAAGTGAAGAAGACTTGAAACACTTATTGATGAAGATCAAAGACTTCAGTATGGATTCCACATCAACATAAAGAAAATAAAAATCTCAGAAGTCCACATCTTCCATCTCCAATCACACATTCTCCCACATATTTCATCCCTAATCATCCACAGGGAAAGATGAATCCCTTACCATAAGTCAAAGAAATTTATATTCTGGAATTGATTCACCTTCTCAGCCATTCTCCTGATGCTGTTGTCAAGTGACTGTGGCCCTGCCAACCAGACTAACTTGCCTGCTTTTAATTAGGCAGAGGCTATTTGCTCTGTTTGGGAGCTGATATTCTCTCTAAAGTCTGCAGTATGGATTACACCCCAATATAAAGAAAACAAAAATCCTCAAACTGGTCCATTAAACAGCTTCACGATGGATGGAAAAAAGACTGAAGTTGTCAAGAATTTCATATTACTTGGTTCTACAACACCAATGGAAGCAGCAGTCAAGACATCAGACAACGTATTACATTGGGCAAATCTGCTGCAAGAGACTTCTTTCATGTGCTGAAGAACAAAGATGTCTCCCTGAAGACTAAGGTGCACCTATCCCAAGCAATGGTATTTTCAACAGCCTCTTATGCAGGTGAGAGCCGGACAATGAATAAGGAAGACGAAATAAGATTTGATGCTTTTGAGTTTTGTTGTTGATGAAGATTGCTGAAAGTACCATGGACTGCTGAAAGAACTAACAAATCTGTTCTTGGAAGAAGTACAGCCAGAATGATCCTTGGAAGCGAGAATGGTCAGACTTCGTCTCACCTACTTTGGTCACATTGTCAGAAGGAACCATTCCATGAAGAAGGCTATCGTGCTTGGTAAAGTAGAGGGTCAATGAAAAGGGGAAGGCCCTCAACGAGATGGACTGAAACAGTGGGTGTAACAATGGGCTCAGGTATAGCAAGTATCGTGAGGCTGGCACAGGACTGGGCAGTATTTCATTCTGCTGTGAATAGGGTCGTTATGAGTCGGAGACAACTCGATGGCATCTAACAACAACATTCTTTCAATTCAAAGGCTGTTGTTGTCATTGTCAAGTCAATTCCAACTCCTCGTGACTCGGTGTGACAGAGTAGAACTGCCCCATAGGGTTTCCTAGGCTATCTTTACAAAAGCAGTTCACCAAGTCTTTTCTCCTCTGGAGATACTGAGTCGGTTTGAATTGCTAACCTACTGATTAGCAGCCAAGCACTGGACCTTTGTACCACCAGACCTCCAACTTAAAGGTTACCCACTTTGAAGAGCTCTTTTTAAAATTAGCCTTACCCACAGACTCCTGAGTTAAATGAATCACACCTCCCTTTCACTCCTGCAGTACTTTTTTTACTGGCACCATTGATAAAACTGGCAATAACAGTGATAGCCTCTCTCATCAGCCTATCATGGGCACTCATGAGCTCCTAGTTCATCCTCACATTCCTAGAACCTAGATCTTGCCCGACTGTAGGTGATAATAAATATTAAGTAAAGACAACTACCATATTGTGTCATACAATGCACCCACATAAACAACACACATGTGTAGAACATACATAGCGCACATAAAAACTAACATGCAAGGGGGCTGCACAGTTTGCAAAACCCATATAACATGAGTGTTATATGCATGAAAAAGTATGGAAATTAACAATCATCAAGAGAGGTCCACTAGAATGCAAATCCCTTGAAGGCTCACCATTATGTATCCCATAGCAGAATATGGGCCCATAATAAATTAATAAATGTATGAAGTCAATTGAAGAATCTCAAAAGAAAAGTTGAACAAAAGTAAGGGGAATTCTACATTTGTTATCTTGGTTGTCTCCTAAATATCTGTAAGAAGATTCCCTTTGAGATATTCAATTACTTGTTTATGTTTCCTCCATCAAAATGGAGGAATGTAATTATAAAATGCACAAATTATAATTGTTGTTGTTTGTTGTTATGTGCCATCGAGTCAGACCTGACTCATAGCGACCCCTCCTTGGGTTTCCGAGGCAGTATCGCTATGGAAAGTAGATTGCCCCATCTTCCTTCTGAGGAGGTGGCTTTTATTTATCCATGTGAATACTACAACATAATTTCCTACTGATTATGGGTTTGAACCGCCAGCCTTCTGGTTAGCAGTCAAGTGCCTTAGACACTATGCTACCAGAGCTCCTATATATTATAAATGACAATAGTATTTCATGTCTGTATTAAATGTATGCTTCCTTTTTTGGATATTTTTCCTTTTCAATTCTTTATTGTTACATACAACTAGATAATTTGTGTTGTTAAAAGTTGAGTTTTATCAACATAATGCTCAATATGTCTTGATACCTTTTAAAAATTGAATTCCTGCGTGATTTTAACTATGGCACTATTCTGTGTAGGTGTGTGAAGATCCCAGGGAAAAAAGAACAAACAGAAATAAAACATGGGTTAGAAAGACATTAATTCTATTTAACACTATTGAGAAAATGCATCTGTTATGTAAAAAGCTATGAACAAATTTGATGCAATCTAGTTAAAGGATACCAAAAAAAAAAAAAAAAGTTAAAGTATGAGTAATCCTATTCTATCAATATTTCCACCTTCCATAATTGTGTTATATATTTTATTCCTCATTTTATACAATAGTACTCTTAGACAAAAGGAAGTTAGGGAAAAAATGCCTCACAATGTTATGTTCACATTATTTTCAGAAATTCAAAGCATTCAGTAAAAATTATTTATTCATCTTCATAACACACATGAAGGGTAGGCAGAGCCTGCTTTTGCATTCATATTTACTTAATGGATATTTTAGTCATGGGTTAGGGATAACATCTCAGGGATCATACTTTGACTCACATTTTTTTTTCCCCTTCAAAACATTGTTAAGAGTAATGACTATTCATTAAAAAAAAAAAGAGAGAGAGAGAATAAAATAGAATAAATAATACAATGATTGCAAACCATACTCTTCTTAAGCAGGAATAAGCAAACATTAAGTAAACATGACTTACAAAATCATTGAAGAGGCTCTTTAGAACACAGCATTCTGTACTTGCATGGAGACTGGTACCATGCCAACCTGCTACTCTCCTAGGTTTTGCTTTATACACAAAAGATGCAAGAAAAAGCAAAACTATGATCCACTCATTACAAAGTGAAAAGAGTTGTGCCAGCAACTAAAATAAAGTAATGTAATCCAATTGGTGGCTTTTATTTATCCATGTGAATACTACAACATAATTTCCTATTGATTTTTCATCTATTTTCCAGATATCCAAAAACCAAAGCAAACTCACTGCCATTGAGTCGATTCTGACCCATAGCGACCCCTACTGGGCTTCTAAGGTGGTAAATCTTTATGGAAGTAGATTGCCCCATTTTCCTTCTGTTTTGTCTTTAATATTGTGTCATCTTTTTTATAGGTATTCTACAATAGTTTTTTTTTCTAGAATTATAGTTGCCTAGCTCTTCATGATATCAGCAAAAAAGACTATAAACATTTTATTAGCAAAGCTAAGTGGAATTTCATTTCTGCATGGGACAAATCATTTTTTCCTCACTCTTTCTCCAATCTCGGTTTGATCTCCATTGGGTAACTGCTCCAAATCTGGGAAGAGAGCACAGGCTTCCAATACTCGCTCATAAAACTGCTTCTGCATGACAGATCCAAAGAGAATGTTGTCTTGCAAAATGCAATTCTGAATCCAGGCCTGCTGGGAAACATAAGCCACGGAGCCCTAAAAAAGAAAGAATCAAAACAAATATTCTTAATAAGGATAAAGGAGAAGTTGCATGAACCACATTAAAAGTAGACATTTACTCTATTGTTTTGCCTCCTTTAACTTCAAAATAAAATAATAACTCGGTTATTTATTATATGTAAATATATCCCACATAATACCTTGTTTCAATATAAAAAAACCCACCACCACTGAGTCAATTTTGGCTCATAGCAACTCTATAAGACAGAGTAGAAATTCTTCATAGAGTTTCCAAGGTTGTAAATCTTTACAGAAGCAGATTGATTTATCTTTCTCCCATGGAGCAGCTTAGTAGATTCAAACCACCAGCCTTTTAGTTAGCAGCTGATTGCCTAAACCACTTAGTCATCAGATTTCTTTGTTTTAATATAATCTTAAATATTTTTATTTATGTTGTTGTTGTTGTTATGTGCTGTCGAGTCAGACCCGACTCATAGTGACCCCTTCTTGGGTTTCGGAGGCAGTATCACTAAGGAAGTAGATTGCCCCATCTTCCTTCCAAGGAGTGGCTGGTGGGCTTGAACTGCCAGCCTTCTGGTTAGCAGTCAAATGCTTTAGGCACTACGCTACCAGAGCTTGCATTCCCCTCAAATGAGTTACTTTTTATTTGTTATTTATTTCCCCATGTTGTTGTTAGACAGCTTCAAGTTGTCTCTGAATCATAGTAACCCTCTGTACAACAGAATTATACCCTGCCTGGTCCTGCACCATCCTCACAATCTTTTTTGCTATGCTTGAGCCCACTGTTGCAGTAACTGTGTCAATCCATCTCATTGAGAGTTTTCCACTTTTTCACTGAGCCTCTACTTTACCAAACACGATATCCTTCTCCAGGGACTGTTCCTTTCTGACAACATGACCAGAGTATGTAAGACAAAGTCTGGCCATTCTTGCTTCTAAGGAGCATTCTGGCTGCACTTCTTCTAGGACAGATTTGTTCATTCTTTTGGCAATCCATGGTATTTTCAATATTCTTCACCAAGACTACAATTCAAATGCATTAATTCTTCTGTGGTCTTCAATATTCATTGTCTATTTTTCCCATGCATACAAGGAAATTAAAAATATCATGGCTGCAGTCAGGGTCACCTTAGTGTTCAGTGACATCTTTGCTCTTTAACACTCTAAATAGGTCTTTTGCAACAGATGTGCCCAGTGCAATACATCCTCTGATTTCTTAATTGCTGCTTCTATTTGAGTGGATTGTAGATTTAAGTAAAATGAAATTTATCACACTTCAATCTTTTCTCCATTTATTGTGATTCTGTTTATTGGTGAGGATTGTTGTTTTCTTCATGTTGAAATGTAATCTATACTGAAGGTTATAACTTTTGATCCTCATCAGTGAGTGCTACAAGTTTTCTTCACTTTTAGCAAGCAAGGTTGTGTCACCTACATATTGCAGGTTGTTCTTGAGTATTCCTCCAATCCTGACATGACATTCTTCTTCATATAGTACAGTTTCTCAGATTATTTGCTCAGCACACAGGTTGAATAAGTATGGTGAAAGGATACAACCCTGACCCAAACCCTTCCCAATTTTAAACCACACTATCCTCTTAATCTGTTTGAATGACTGCCTCTTGGTCTATGGACAGGTTCCTCATGAGCACAATTAAGTGTTCTGGAATTTCCATTCTTCGCAATGCTATCCATAATTTTTTATAATCAACACAGTTGATTGCCTTTGCATAGTCAATAAAACACAGGTAAACACCTTTTTTGGTATTTGCTTTTAGTCAAAATCCATCTAACATCATCAATGATATCCCTCATTCTACATCCTCTTCTGAATCCACCTTGAATTTCTGGAAGTTCATTATCAACATACTGCCGCAAACCTTTTTTGAATTATGTTCAACAAAATTTTACTAGTGTGTGATAATAATGATATTATTTGATAATTTCCCCATTCTGTTGGATAACCTTTCTTTGAAATGGGCACAAATATGGATCTCTTCCAGTCAGTTGGCCAGGTAGCTGTATTCCAAATTTCTTGGCATAACTGAGTAAAGACCTCCAGTGCTATATCCCTATCTTGAAATACCTCAGTGGGTTTTCTGTCAAATTCTGGTGCTTGTTTTTCTCTATTTAGTGCATCATGGAACTCTTCCTTCAATACCATTGGTTCTTGATCCTATGCTACCTCCTGAAATGACTGAGCATAAAACAATTCTTTTTTGTACAGTGACTCTGTGTATTCTATTCATCTACTTTTATTGCTTTCTGTATCGCTTAATATTTTTTCCACAGAATCCTTCAAAATTGCAACTTGAAGCTTGAATTTTTTCTTCAGTTCTTTCAGCTTGTGAAATGCCAAGCATATTCTTCCCTTTTGCTTTTATAACTCCAGTTCTTTGCACATTTCATTATAGTAATTTACTTTGTCTTCTCAAGCTGCCATTTGAAATCTTCTGTGCAGCTCTTTTATTTCATCATTTCTTCCATTCAGTTCTGCTACTCTCCATTCAAGAGCAAGTTTTAGAGTCTCTTTTGACATCTGTTTTACTCTTTTCTTCCTTTCCTGCCTTCTTATTGACCTTTTCCTTTCTTCATGTATGATGTTCTTGATGTCATCCCACTACTCTTCTAGTCGTCATTCATTAGCATTCACTACGGAAATAGATTGCCCAGCCTTCCTTCCGAGGATTTGTTTAGAATGATGTATTACCTCAGTCCACAGGTGAGAGGTATCTTGAATATCTGCTCCATATTAGGAAAGTTAAGGGAACAAAAGATAAATAATACAGGAAAAAAGAACATGGAAAAATGTCCTAAAATATAAGGCAGAAACAAAATACTATATTGGGAGGTATGGATTCAATTTATTGGTATCTTTGAAGTTGAATCACAGTTGATCAGTTTTTCAGAGATGTAAATTTTTCCTTCTTTTATAAGTATTATTAGTTGCCTTTCATATACAAATGGAAACTTTTTTGTTTGTTTCATTCTCTATGATGAAATCACCATAAATGTTTTGCTAATTCAAAAATGGTCTCCAAATTTCTGATGTGCCATCAAAGAATACTAAACACTGTGCCCTCTGCATGGACTTTGCCTTGTGTGAGCTTTTCACATTAAGAATAGGGATCAAAGAGAGAGCACTTAGAACAGAGAATAGTAGAGGGACTGCTTAGAGAGAATGATGGGGGTTTCTTAAAGTTTGATCACTGTGATAAAAGCCTCAAAACAGATCATCTGAATCATTATGAAATGGAAAAATGTACACAAAATCACTGTGCAATCTTTAAATGTTAAACTGGTCATGTCATTATTACGGTTATTATCACTTTAACTAGAAATTATAAATTCAGCATTATAATGTTTTGAGCAATATTTCAGAATGTGTTACCCCAAATCATGATGCTGATCCAGACAAATGACCTTCCTGAAGGCCTAAGTGGCCAATTATACAGAAAGATCTTAGCTGCTTCTGTCTTTTATACCTGTAGTTTAATATAAACGAAGAGTGTTCTCTCTGCTTTACCATTAGCGGTGGCATTGTCATGATTTCTTTCATCACCATGAGCACTTTCATACTTAGAATCACTCAAAGGCATCAGAAATAATCTTTAAATCGATCATGAGGGTCTCAACAATCATAATGAAGATAACAATAACCTTAAATATTCACAGGGAATGTGCTCTCTGTCAGGAACTAGGCTAAGTTTTTGTACATCATCTTATTTAATCTGCACCCTAAGCTTTTAGTTTATCACTGTTATTAATGCATTAGGTAAAACCTAGAATTGATATAGTTTTTATTTTTAGCACCTCCCACTTATTTTTCAAAATCAAGTAAACGGCTACTTCTCTGATTCTCAACTTTCTTAAGCAGAATTTGTTGGTTTTACATTTTGTACATTTTTAAAATATCTGATTAAACATTTGTCAAAATTGTTCTAAGTATTTTCCTCACTATACATGTATCCCATAAAAGTATGGACATATTATTTTATTCATGTTAGTTTCCTTTATAACTAAATGTTAGGCACATAGTGTGTATTCAATAATTGCTTGGCAAAAATAGATGAATAAATTAAATGAAAATACAATTAATATGACATTTTTTATTTCTGTGAACACTCACTGGTCTAAGAAAAGCTATAGTCATCTTGAACTACAGGGAGATGAATGCAATTATTAGGAAGAACACCAGGATACAAAGTGCAATTAAGTTTAAAAAGTTGTAGTGTCCATTAAGTATAATTTTAACAGAAAAAAACTCTAGCAATCACACCTGGATCCTAAAGTGAGTAGCAGTTAGGAATGCTGAGATAGAAAGGAATAATAAAAATAAATCACTAAAGGCCTGGAATAGAAGAGGTATAAGAATATCAGGAAAATGTATTATGAAGAAAAATAAGAGCGATTATGGTTGTCAGAGGTGAGAAGGAGGGATTGGGTCGTTGTTTGTCTAAGAGTTAGCTAAATAAGTTGCCATCAAGTCAACTCTGACTCATGGTGACCCCATGTGTGCCAGGGTAGAACTGTGTGCCATGGGGTTTCAATGGCTAATTTTTCAGCTATAGATCACCAGACTTAGGACAACCTCTAAGCTTTCGGTTAACAGTTGAGAGAGTAACAGTTTGCAACACTCAGGGTTAGCTAGATCTAAGGAAAATCTTACTGGATAGAGTTACATAAAAGTAACAGCTGATTTAAAACTTGTTGAATTCTTGTTCGTAGAGATCTTTAACAATAGAACAAATGGTTGGGAGTAGGTCTCTCTATTGCCCAAAGGCTGAATGTGAAATGTAAGCTATAAATACTATTTTTTGGAAGTTTCTTTGGGAGCTTTGGTGGTGTAGTGCCTAAGACACTTGACTGCTAACCAGAAGGCTGGTGGTTCAAACCCACCAGCCACTCCTCGGAAGGAAGATGGAA